CTGACTCAGCTGGAGCGACTCTTCAGGGATGTCCTCCCACTGGATTGAGATTCCTCTCTCCTTTTTGGGGGGTGGTTCTCAAAAGTTGTATGTTCTCTCATTTTTAGTTTCTATAAACTGAAGTAGAGAGTACAACCAGACAGTTCATTTACAACTTTCAGACAATTGTACCTGATGAAATAATAGAAGCTGGTGAGGGGTATTAGGTACAAGAGAGGACTGACTGATGGAGAGGTCACCTGCAGAGAAACATCAGGGATTTGAGCATTCTCTTGGACTGTGAGTACCAGAGTTGTGTGGTAGGGTCCACCAGGGCCCCCTCCTCCAGGCCAGTCCCTTGGTCTCAGTGTCTTACAGCCTCAGGTCTGTCTCTACCCCCAGGCTATTTTTGAGTGAGCACTGGCTGCAGTGCTGGGTGTGAACCGCACATGGTGTCAAAGGCAATTCTTGTCCAACACGAAGTCTTACCTTGGGGGTATCTGCTCTAGTTACAAATGTATGCAAGATCTCTAACCTAAAAAGGGAATTCATTTGCTTTGGGTTCAGCTTTGGAGGGGAAAAGACAGGTATTTTGAATATCTCAACTGCTTCTGTGAGACACAAGTGATCTGACTTGTTCTCTTGGCCAAGGCCCAAGTGTTGTATACCGAGTACCTTGAGGCTCCAGTCAGCAGTCTTTGTCATCCACCCCTTCGACTCTCCAACATTCACTCTATTTTCTGGGTGTCAACTCTTCTGCCTCTTTATCTAATGAGGTACTCTTAGGAGTCCCTGATATTGGCATGTTCCATGTCAAACAGCTGTAGGGGCTTTTAGGAGTCATACTGACCCCTTAGGAGGACCATTCACTCAAAGTTTTCCCTACCCTTTCCCACGGGTCCATAGCTCCTAGTGAGCTAGAGTGACCCATTCTCCTCTCTAGAGCTCATTTTGGCTTTGTTCTGCTGCAGTATAGCTGTGAGTAGATGGGGACTGATACCAGTATCTTCACTCCACCACCATCTTGCCAGACTCTTTAACAATGATTTTTGTGAATTGGCCTTTGTAGCTGCCACGTTACTTACTAGTTTGTTTCTAATAGTTTAGTGGAGTCCTTTGGGTTTTCTGTGTGTACTGTAACATTTGCAAAGAGTGAGCTTTGCTTGTTTATCTTGCCTAATTGCTCCAGCTAGGCCTTCCAGTGCTATGTTGACTAGTATGATAAAAGCAAGCATCCTTGTTTTGTGCCTGATCTTAAGAGAAAAAACTTTCAGTTTTTCAACATTGAGTATGACATTGTGAGGTTGTATGTTCCTTCTATCCCCATTACTTGAAGAATTTTATCATAAATGGATGTTGTATTTTGCTAAATGTTAACTCTGCAGCCATCGATATGATCAGATGACTTGTATCAATTATTCCTCTTATTGATGTGTATTACACTGATTTCAGCCTTATAAATCATCCTTACAACCCTGGAATAAATCCCACTTGGTCAACATGTATGATCTTTTTAATGTATTGTTGTATTTGGTTTGTGATTTTGTTGAAAACTTCTGAATCTATGCCCACCTTTTTTTATGATGTCCTTGTCTGCTTTTGATAGTAGAGCAATGTTGGCCTCTTAAAACACATTAGAAATCATTCCCTCTTCCTCAAGCTATAGAAGAATTAGAGTAGAGGTATTTGTCTGTAAAAGATTGGTAGGCTTTCTGCAGGAGGGGCAAGGAAGGGAAGAGCACAAGGACTGTGATGCACGGGTGAACTGGGAGTTACAGGGACGAGGCCTGGAAGGAGAGAGCAAACATTGTACAGAAATGAACAAAGATGCAAAATATTCATTAACAATTAAAAATAGTTTGGTAAAGCTATCTGTTCTGGACTTTTGAGAGACTTGCTAACTGAATTTCATAGCTTAAAATTGGTATGTTCACATTTCCTATTACTTCCTAAGTAGGTCTCAGCCAGCTGTCTACCTCTAAGAAGGTGTTCATTTCCCAAGTTATTTATCTAATTTATTGGTATGTAGATGTTCATACTAGTGTCTTATGATCCTCTATATATTTGGGGTGTCGTAATTACTCGTTTCTGAGTCTGTTTTCCCCCCTCTTTGAGTCTGTCTAAAGGTTTGTATTATTTTTTTTTTAAGATTTATTTATTTATGCGTACAGAACTGGGGTACAGGCCAGAGGTGCAGGGGCGGCGAGAAGCTTCACCAGAGACAGAGTGGGGAGCAGAACAGGCAGATCAACGAAGTACACTGCTGAGGGGAGCAGCGGGCAGGTCAGGAGAGGTCTGCCACACCATGTGGTCTCCTCCGGGGCAGGCGGGGATCGAACTCATGCAGAAGTGGCTTTAGCTTCTCAGTGCTGTGCTTTAACCCACTGCGCCTCCAGGGAGGGCCAGGTTTGTCTTATTTTTACAAAGAACTTAGCTTTGGTTTCATTGGTCTTTTGTGCTATCTTGATTTCTATTTCTGTTAATTATTATCACATTCCATTAGCTTTTGATTTTTGTTCTATTCTAAAGACTAAATTGAACTTTCTGTTTCCTGATATGGACTTAGTGCTACTACTGAGATTCTCATGAGATCTAGTAGCTTTTCTTCATTTTAGTTTCTTTAGGTACTTTTTATTTGATGTCCTCATTGATCCAAAAGCCTTTGAGTATAGTATGTTGTTCATTCTCCACATATTAGTAGTATAGTATGTTGTTCAATCTCCACATATTAGTTTGGTTTTCTTTTTTCCATTTTTTTTCTGGTTGATTTCTAGTTTGATACCACTGTGGTCAGAGAATATGCTTGAATGTGATCTTCATGAATTTACTGACACTTTTGTGATCCAACATGTTGTATATTCTGGAGAATGAAAAATGTACACTCCAGAAACTCCAGAAGATGCATGATAGCTTCATGGAGAACAGTGTCTCTAAATACCTTTAGGCCAGGTGGTCAGTTTCTTCACTTAGGGCTATTTCCTTGTTGATCTTCCCACCGATGAGGGGCTCACTGACACCCCCTAGTCCTCTTGTGTTGCTGCTAAAGTCTGTTTTGTTAGTAAATTGCTTTATCTATCACGATGGTTTCTTTTATATATAAATATGACATGTCTTCCTAATATAGTGCTCCCTTAGTCATTACATAATATTCATCTGTCACTTGATGCCTTTTAGCTGAAAGGGACAGCCATACTTATAGTAGATAAAATATTGTCTTTGTTTTTGCATACCATTTGTTTGTAGAATTGTCTTCCAGTCATTGACTTGGAGTCTGTTGTCTTTAGATGGGTCTCCTTAAGACAGCAGATAGTTGGGTTTTGTTTGATAATCCAACCAACCACTTTTTTTCGCATTCACTCCCATTTCTATTTAGGATAATTACTGTATACAAGGATCTGGTCATGCCCCTTTGTCTTTAGTTTTTATGTATATATATTGTACACACACACACACACACACACATATGAGCGGGAATTTTTTCTGATTTAGGTAATAGCTCCTTTGACATTTCCTGTAGTGGAGGTTGGGTGGAGGGAAGTGTGGTATCTAGTTTGACAGACTCCTTCATCTTCTCTTCGCCAGGAAGATCTTTATTCCTCCTTATCTGAAAGAGACTCTTGGAAGGACATGGTAAACTTTCTGACAATTTTTATCTTTAGTTTTGCAATGTCATTCTATTTCCCTCTTTCTTAAGAGGGGTTTCTCACAGAAGTGACCTAAGCCTGAAGGGGCATTCTTTCACAGTGTACACCTTTTCGTTCCTTTAGCCACTTTCAGTGGTCTTTCTCTTTATCTTAGTGCAGGATCTCATTAGTTAGGTAACCAGAAGTTTGCAATTTCATAGGCTTACCTATTCAGTTTCTTCTCGGCCTTTGGAGCTGTATTATTTCTTTAAGAGTTCTCTCTGCCCTTTCCTAAAAACCCATTATCCTGTTGCTTCTCCTAATGCAAATAAATAATCTGAAATGTTAACTCTTGAAGTGTTTCTGAATTTTACCCCTTATCTTTGATAGTTGTCATCTTCTGCCAGGTCCTTTGTGTGTTATCTTCAAGGTCACTGACGAGATCCTTCATTTGGCCTGTTCTACTTCCAGAGTTTCCTCTAGAATCTCAATCACCTGATTATCTTCTTACATTCTTACATCTATTTTCTTACTCAGAGCTTCAATTTCTACTTCTAACTTCTTTTTTTTTTCCTGATTTGTTTGTTTGTTTCTCCTATGTTTCTTCCATTTCTTTGCATTTGTCATGGCACTTTGAGCCTACAGAAGGTAAAATCTTCCATGTCATCTTCATTGGGTCCTGCGAGTCCTCTCCCTTTGAGGTTTCAAGGTGCCCTGTGTGTTGTTGTTACTGTCTGCCCATTTTGCTGCTTTAGAAAGTATAGCAGGATATTAGATCCACACTACTTCCCTGGCAGGTGGCACTGTGGTTAGACTTTTGTCCTTTCAGCTGTTGGCCCTGTCATCTCCCCGGTTGGGTGGTCCTAACACCTGATCTCGGAGCTGACAAATTGGGGTTTCCTACCCCAGTTTGTGCAACCACCGGTCCAAATACACTGGAGGGGAGAATAGCTGGCTGGTGTTCTGACACTACAAACATCATTCTTTGGGGTTCAGACCCAGCACCTGCTGTCTGCGTGTTGCCAGTGTGCTGCATGAGCCCTCAGGCCCAAGGCAGGAAAACACGGCCTACCTCACTGTCTTCTTCAGACCTGGCCTGCTGGGTGAACCCAGCCCCTTCCTCAGTTCAAGGTGTGTGCCTCCACACTGCTTATCTCTCCCTCCCACAGGCTCACTTTTGTTGGCAATATCTGTATAAATTCAGTAAGACTTTCTCTGTATAACCTATTGTTGAAGCCATTGTCTGTGTCCACCTCGCAACTGTCTCCAGGATTCAGATACTATCTGGAGTTAAATACTCTTTGCAGCAATCCCTGGCGGTTCAGTCTCTAGCTTTCTGAGTGAAATGAACCAGTTTGGGCCAATAACCAACCAATAACAAATCCACTGGCACTATAGTAAACTTTAAAGAATTTATTTAAACTTCACTCACTTGTTTTTTTGGAATGGGAATACCTATGTACATTATTCACCAATAAATGCTTACTGCTTTAAATTTACAATTACCTATTTTGCAGAAACTTGAAAATCATTTCGATGGAAAAAGTACAAAACACTTTGTATTACAACTCAAAATATTAGAAATTTAACTTTTGCAGCAGTCAAAACCTTTAGCCAAAAAATGCAGTCTGATAAGTTTAACAAAATAGTCACATTCCAATTGAAATATTCTGGTTAACAATGGGAAAGACATCTGCCTGCTCAAATATGGTAGACTGGCAACTACTGCCTTTCCCGTCCCCAAGTTCAAAGCTTTGTCTTTGATAATTTAATCTGTTCAAATTGTTCCAACTTTTAAAGTTTAAATAAGCCTCTTCTGATCAATATTGGAATTTTCCTGGCAATATTGGAATTTTCCTGGTAATACTAAGACTTAAGAACTCCAACAATAAGAATCAGAAAATGACCCACAATTTAAAAAAAAAAAAAAAAAGACTGACTTCTACAGTGTCAAGTGATATTCAACATTAATAGTGTTTCTGAATTACATTTTTTCACAAACATAGCACCGCATTATCCGGTAAACACTTTGCAATCACAATAAGGGTTGGGAGCTAAGTTCCAAAGAGAATTTTGTAATCCAATTAAGGACACATTGCAAGACAAGTCTCGGGCATAATCAAGACCAGGGATGCAGTCTGCTGGTCCCAGACTGTAAGGTGAAACTCATCTAACGGGCATCGTCTTATTTAAGATACGGTATTACACTTCAAAATCTACAATGAATAGCTGAGTCACTAAGCACTGAGAGTGGACTCTTGTTTTACAAATTGATCTGTTAAGTGGTATCTGTAAAACTAAAATTAAACTTTTTCCAAAGGACCCATCTCCTATTCCAGATAATTTTGTTAAAAAGATACGAAACAAAGTCCAATTTTAATTTGTAAAGTTTGGTGTAAAAGTTCATGTATTGAAATGTCATACAATTTGGGGGAGCTTATATAAGCTACAAACTATACTCTTGGCCTGAAGAGTCACTCTTCTTGTGCCTGGGAGATGGTGTGGTCTTCGTCGGGGACGGGGACGCGGTACCAGGTGAGTCGGTGCCTCCGTCAGAGGTACTAGGGGATGATGCCAGGTAGGGGCCTTTCTTTCTTCCGAGGAATACACCTCCTTCAAATCCTTTCTTTCTTAACTCTACTTTATTTTCACTTTCATCTTCTGAGGACCTTTTCTTGGATTCCAGAAAACCTTCAGCTACTTTATGAGCTTCAAATCCACTATCTGTTTCTCTCAAACCTTTTATTTCTGTTCCTGGAGACTTTCTCTCAGACACATTACATTCCCCTGTTGCCCGTTTCACTTCAGCTTGTCCTGGACCAAAGTTACCATTTTCAGGGACGGCTCTCTCTAAATTCCGGTTCAAATTAATAGTCTGAAAGTCCCGATAGCTGTGGAAGCTCTCAGTCCTCCTCGCTCGCGCTAACAAAGGACTCTCTCTATAAGGCCTCATGGAGCCGTAAGTAGCTGCTTCAGGGATGGTTTCATGGTGCTGGAGCTGAAGGCTGAAATATAATTTTTAAAATGTGTAAGCTCCTACATCTTAGTAAACTACCAACAGAAAAACTTTGGGAACAAATTATGTAAATAAAGAATAGCATATCCTAATTTCTGTACGTTTAAAAAAAAAATAACCCACATATAGGTAATTCAGCCCAGCAGGATTTCTGAATATTTCAAAAACAAGGGGGAAGACTTTAATTTAGTATTTGGTCATTGGTTCAAGCTATGGAATTATAATGGAGCAACCAGAAAGACATACTTTAGCATTTGTATTAACTGCTAAGATGAGCAGACAAAAGCTCCATATACTCTCCGAGGTGACACTGATCTTTCTAACTTGCTTTGAACTCTTGACCATATTACAAGAGTCTAAACTGTCAGTAACGCACAGAACAAAGGCAAAAACAATCTTCTATGAGAACTGGGGATGCAAGAAAATTTAGTATAATATAACTCTAAAAGGTTGGATGTCAGCATACTCTGAATTAAAAAAGGACTCTGAAAAATAATTTCCAAGAACAATTATATGTGATTACAGCATCTCGGCCAATTTTCCTAAAAGCACCCGCTGCTTACAATAATCGAGTCTTTCACCTACCTGGAGTTTGACTCGCGAAGCCGGCTGTGCTGAACCACGGAGGTCGCAGGGCTGATGTTGGGGGTGGCGCAGCGCGAGGTGCTCAGGTCGCACTGGTCCAGCAGCTTGAGCAGCTCCTCCTCAGTGGGGCCACCTACGTCTGGGGAGACAGGCCCTCATTACGAGCTGTTGGTGCCAACAGCCCCGCGGCCAACGCCTTTCCCTGGAACCTACCCTTGTCTTCACTTTTGTTGACCATGTCCATGGCCGTGGTCAGATCCCACATCTGAATGCTGCCGTTCGTGTGGCCAGTGAACAAGTAGCGCCGTGGCCTCGAGCCCATCCTGCTGGACCCCTCACATTCCCTCACTGTGAACGAGGATATCGTGGTGCAGTCAACGGCCTGGATCTCGCAGATCCTGCAACAGACATTGCAGAGTTGTAAACACTTAGCACTTGCACCGTTGAGCTCCATAGTTCACCTATATAATAAAAGGTGTAAAGGAGACCAGGCAATCAGTAGAAGAGCATGAAGCTTCACTTTGAGTCTGGAGGAGAGGCTCACAAAATTATTTGGCTTGTTTTAAGTCTGGTTCTCGTTTTCGGTTAACTTTTGATGGGAACGAACCAAGTCTTTAAGGCAGTAACTAACACATTTATCACATAACAGAAAAGATCTTGAAGTCTTTTTAAGTTTAAAACCAGAAAGAATATTCAGCTGAATGGAGACGACTGAACAGTACTGTTAGTTATAAAAGTGAAAAAATGTTAACTGTTCATTAATTAAAAATTCATGACAGAATTTGATGAGGAAAGAATAACATCAGCAAAATTCACAAGGCTTGCCAAACTGTAAACTTCAAATATTCGCCCAGCCTCCTTGGAGAAGACTCACATTTTAGCTGCTACTTTTTTTTTTTTTTTTTTTTTAATATTAGGTCAGAAAGCATAGCCCACATTATGGTGAGCTGCGTGGCTGAGCTTCTTAGAAAAAAAGAAAGTGCTGGGACTGGAGGTGCCCTGCCCACGTGACGTGGGGGAGAAGGCAGGCACTTCGCCCCTGGGCACGATGGGCTGAAGTTATTTCTGTACATGTCTATCAGACTGAGAATGTCACTTAGTTTTAAAAATCTTAAGTAGGAGTTGAACTGTTTATTAATATGATCACATAATTGTTCTTCAGCTGTTCAGGTAGACTAAATCTGTTTTCTAGTAACACCTGTCAGTGGATGCAAAGTTTAAGAGTGAGTTCTTACATGACCCCGTTAAAGATTTCCAGGTTGTCTTCCCTTGCCCTCTTGCAGTAAAACCCTTTCATTTCTCGTCATTAAGAACCTGCACTGTCTTTAAGTCGTGCTTCATAAGAGGCTGATTTCTTATCTAATTCTTCAAAGTAATCTTACAACTCCACTTCTTCAGCTAGAATTACACTTAACAGCTATAAAAGGTGTGCTATGCAGAAACAGCTATAAAAGGTGTGCTATGCAGAAACCAGAGTGATGGTGACACTGCGACTTTGAAGGAGGGAGGAATTGAGCTACTCCTGTTAGTAGGGTGTCATGTGTGACAGGGGTATCTGAAACACCTGCCAGCTTCATCACCAAATATGCACATTAAACCAGTGATAATGTTTCTCAAGATAATCATGTGGTCTAAAACTATTTTACATGTTCTTAATGTATTTTCTTAATGTTGAGTCTAAGTACATAAAACTCATTGCTAAAGACTGCAAAGAACTTGGATGGAAAGGACAGACTGAGTTTATTCATTAAACTATTAGGAAATCAAGAGGCCACATGCTAAAAAGGTTACTGAGAAATTATTTTAAACAGCAGTGTTAGTAACGAACAAGAACTTACTTGCCTTTTCATGTGTTTGACAGACAAAAAAACCTTTTTAAAGAAATGTCAAAGCTCAATGCATTTGAGGCTATAAATGCCTACTCGTTCATTACATGGCTTCAGGTTTTATAAGAAAGCCACTAGTATGTTTCCAGCGCATGTCTGTGTGTGGTGTAACACAGTGGTGTGCCTTTCGTGTGCACGTGACCGCTCATTTCTCCCAAGCAATGTGCTGAGATTTCACTCCGCAGGTGGCGCCTCCGCACGGACTCCGTGAGTATTGTTTTCCTTCCTGCTTTGAAGATTTTTCTCCTTGCCCTTCACTTCTGACATTTCATCATCTAATCACCTTATTGCAATTCTCTGCTCTCCTGGATCTAAGTGTGTCTCCCTTCCCAGCCGAGGGAAGTTTCCACTTTGCTTTCTGCTTCCTCTCTCCTCTTGTGATGTCTGCAATGTGAGCGTCGGTCGGCCTGAGACTGTGCCATGAGCCCTTACACTAGGCTCTCAGCTCCCTGTGGCTGCTCCGGCCGGGTGAGGCCAGCGCCCTTTGCTCACCGACCTTTCTCCCACCTCGCCTGGCCTGCTCCTGAGCCGCTCGTCTGTCCCACTGTGTCCAGCTCTGTAGGTGTTATCTGGTACTTTCTAGTATTTCTTTCCAGAAAATTTTCACTGTTCCCACATTCCTCTTTGAGCTCTGCGAGGATTTTCTAACACTATTTTACACTATTTTTGCATGTAAATTACTCATCTCCATTCACTGAGGTCTTCTGAGATTTATCTTGTTCTTTCATTTAAAACATCTGTCTCCAGTCTGCTGTCGCCCACTGTCTCCCTCACTGCCTGCATAGTGTGCGTTCACTATCTAGCTGTCTCCTGCTGTCTCTCATTTTCTCTCTCCCAGTCTCTGCTCACCTGTTTGTCTTGCAGTCTCCAGACTCGCGCTCCCGTCTCCAATCCCACCGTGCCCCTCTCCCCCCTCACTGTCTCTAGTCTCTTGTGTCTCTGCTCTGGTCTGTGTCACCACTCTCCCCCTGGGTCCCCTCCTCCTCGCTGTCTGTCTCCTCTCTCCCCTCATGTTCTCATGCTTGCAGCAGCTCTCACTGTCTCCACTCTCCTGTCTCTCATCTCTGCTGTCTCCCCTTCACACTGTCTGCTCTACCTGTCTCTACTCTCATTCTCTCCCTATCTCTTCACTCTCCTGGTCTCTTGCTGTCTCTGTTCATTTTCTGTCTCCACTCCCTCATCTGAATCTCTCGCTGTCTTCCACCTCACCTAGCTCTTGCTGTCTGTCTCTTGCCCTCACCATCTTTCCACACTCCCTGCTCTCATTTCCTCACTGTCTCCTTCTCCTGCCTCACTCTACTGTCTCTGCTTTCTCACTCCAAGCTGTCTTGTGCCGCTTCCCTCTCTCCACTGTCTGTTCTCATTTTCTCCCTCATTATCTGTTTCTCTCCTCCTCGATCATTGTCCATCTGTTTCCCGCAGTCTCCAACCTCTGTGTCCTTATTTCCTTGCTGTCTCCAGTGTCACTGCCCACTGTCTCTGCACTTGCACTGTGGGTGTCTCCGCCTCGCGCTCCTGTGTCCTCTGCGTCTCTGCGTCCTCGCCACTGTCTCCGCTTTCTCGTTCTTGCTACTGCTGTCTCCTGTCTCTTCATCTCCGCGCTCGTTCTCTCCACTGACTCTTTCCACCTCTGCTCTCATTTTCTTCCTCACTGTCTCTGTGCCTCTGCCCAACCTCCCTGTAGCCTCCCACTTCTCTCTCCTCATTCCTGCTGTGTCTATTGTGTCTTTCCACACTGACTCCATCTTTCACTGTCTCACTGATCCTCTTGCTATGTCTCCACTCCCGCTGTTTCTCCCTGGCCCTGCTCTCATTTTCTCCCTCGCTAAGTCACTCACTGTATTCAATGTCTCTTCTGTCTCTACAGCTGTGCTCTAACTCGCTCTCCACACTCTATCTCCCCTATCTCAAGTCTCCCCCTTTCTCATCTCTCCCTCACTTCATTCTCCTGTTTCTCTCCTCATCTCTCCAGTCTATCTTCTGTCTCTCATCTCTTTCACTCTCATGTCTCTCTCCTGTCCCTCCTGTCATTCTCCTCTCTCATCTCGTCTCTCCTCTTTGTATCTGTCATGTGTCATCTCTACCCCTCTCCTTTCTCCCTCTCTGTCCCTCTCCTCGTGTCTTTTCCTGTGTCTTCCCCTCATCTCTTGCTCTCGTCTCTCTTCTCCCGGTGTCTTTTTTCCCTCCCGTCTCTCTCATCTCTCCTCTCTTCATTCTCCTGTCTCATATCTCATCTACCTCATCTTCCCTCACTCATTTCCCCACTTGTGCCTCTCAATCCCTCCTTGTTATTCTCCTCTCTCCCTCATCTCTTGCTCTCATCTACCTCAACTCCCTAAAGCCAGTTTACCCCCTCTAGTGTCTCTCTCCTGTCTCCCTCATCTCTTCATTCTTCCATTTCTCTCCTGTTCCTCCTATCTCTCCCCTGTTTTACCTCATCTCCCTCGCTCTCATGCCTCTCCTCTCTCTCTCTCTCGTATCTTCTCTTTCTTGTCCCTCCATATTCTCCTGTCTCCCTCTCTCTCTCCCCTGTCCCCGATCTTTTGCTCTCATGTCCCTCTTCTGTCCCTCCTCTTGAGTCTTGTCTCTCCCATCACTCATTCTCTCACCTAATCTCCCTCGCTCTCATCTATCCCCTCTTCTCTCCTCCCTCCCTCATCATTCTCATGTTTCTCTCCATCTTTGATCACTAATCTCTTCATTCTGCCATCTCCCCCTCTATCTCGCTCTCATGTCCATCTTCTATTCATTCACCTGTCTCACCTCATCTCTCTCCAGTCCTCCACTCTAAATTCACCTGTCTTTCCCCTTGTCCATCCTGTTTTCCCTCAAACCCCTCTCATCGCTCCCTCATTTCTTCATTTTGTCTTCCTTCTCTCACCTCTATCTCTCCTCTCTCCTTTTCATTTACCTATCTCTACACTTGTCTCTCACCTCACCTCTTTCTCTCCCGTCTGCATCCCATCTCGAGAATCTCCTCACTCCCATCTGCCAAAATCTCTCATTTCTTCCCCAACCCTTCTCTCTTCATTCACCTCTCTATCCTTCCCTCATCTCTCATATCCCCGTCTCTGCTCTATCTCCCATATCTCCCTCAATCTCTGGTCCCCTGTTCCTCCAATCTTCATTTTAGTGTCTCTCCCCTTGTCTCTCATCTCTCTCCTGTCCCTCCTCTCTCCCCTCACTCACCCATCTCTAAATTCACCTTCACCTTTCTCTCCCCTTGTCTTTCCTCTCAATCACTCATCTCCTGACTGTCCTCTCTACATTCATCCGTCTCTCAACTATCCTGTCTTGCTACTATAGCATCTCCTCTCTCTCATCTCGCTCCTGTCTCTCTTCCTCCCTCTCCCATCTCTCCTATCTCTCATCTCATCGCTCCCATCACTCTCCTGTCTCTCATCTCTCTCATCTGCATAGCTCTCACCTCTATCCTATCTCTTCCTCGCTCATCTCTCCGCTATCTCTCGTCTCCATAGCTCTCGTCACTCTCCTGTCTCTCTTCCTCCCTC